AGCTGCGCAAAACCACGATCATATTTAGCAGTAATATGCCCTTCATCACTATTACTAATACTAAAAATAATATTACTGATCTTATTAAAATAAAAGTATAAATTAAATCAGTTGAAAGAGACACATTTACCTGTCGATCTTTTAACTCCTTGAACAAATCAGGATGAGCGAGTGACAAATGTTCCCATGGCAGCACATGATTTATAGCAGCGCTTGCAGACTGGTGAATTAAGGTCGGTTGGTTCACCTTTTTCATCACTTTTGTAGGCAAAGTAATGCCATATTTCACTTCTACCGCTTTCTTTATTTATTAATTTCGGACGTGTAGAGTGAGTTTCACCTGTTTTATCCATTGTCGTTTCTCCGTTGTCATGCTTGCCGGTTTCGCGTCAGTTTGGGTAACACTGCCACATAGTGGTGAACTTTGGAACAGCAGCGAATGAAATACCGAATTGAGCAAAATGATGATATCGTACCGTTTGAAATATAATATATACCGGTATTTTTTCAATACCGGTATACCGCACATCCCTACTTGGATGGGTTAGATGCAGAGCACAAATTCTGAGTATGGGTTACCATACTTGGCAACATGTCACAACAATGGCAGAACACTAGCAACTTCTTTGTTGTTCTTGATCTCCATCAGAGGCCAGTTGCATAAACATAGCCACCAAGTTAAGACTGTGTCTTAAGAACTAGTTTGACCTAGTAAGGGGTAATCAGTCTTACTTTTCCAATACAAATAAGACAAATCTACCTTTTCATAACTGAATTAAAAAAGTTATGATAAGTCTTGAAGAAAAAAAAAATTAGATGACTAACTTTTTAAGACTAGTCTAAACAGTTTATGCAACTGGCCCCAGGACTTAGTAAATGAAGTTCCTGGTACCTGGGCAAACAATGCAAATGCAAGAAAGAGGTGTTGCGCTTATTCAAGAGTACAACGGACTCCTCTCAAAGACTGAAGAACAAACGCAGTTCATTATGCAGAATGTCAGAGAGCACCAAAATCTGTTTCCAGGTCCCCGCAAGAATACTGTGGTTAAAGGACTTGTCGAAACATCATAAATATCTAGATCAGGTCTCAGTTTTGTTCCAAGTTCACGTTTTTCACCAATACAGTCATTTCACTTTTTAACATTCTGCTTCTACGTCTGCAAGAACTTTGCGGCTGATGGACATGTCAGATTGTCATCGCAATCTAGATAGCAGTTTTTCAAAAATCAGTTCTCATCAACAGCTTTGTTTGTAATTTTAACTTTTTGTTGTTTCCGTTTTATGCCTTTATTTTGATAGGACAGTAAGTGGACAGGAAGCAGACAGGATCAGGAAAAGTCTGCAAGCCAGGACTCGAACTTGAGACACCTGAAGCACAATGGTGCAACATGTCAGCGTGCTAAATTGAACATTTTAAGACTAACAACACTGTTCTGTGTTCTCGTTTTTAACCTAATTCACAGTTTAGTAATAGTATTGTATAATTACTAATTACATGCTGTTATGGCCATTAAGACTATTTAAATTTTGTTGAGCACACCCTAAACATAGTCTAATCTCAGTGAAATTTGGTTTGTTTCCATTTTTCATGAAGGGGAGTTGACTGGGTGAGAGCAGAAGATTTCAAAAGTCCAAAAATAAGGACCACAAAACCAGTCTTAAGTCGCTGGGGTATATTTGTAGCAATAGCCAAAAATACATTGTATGGGTCAAAATTATTGATTTTTCTTTTATGCCAAAAATCATTAGGATATTAAGTAAGCATCATGTTCCATCAAGATATCTTGTAAATTCCCTACTGTAAATATATTAAAACTTAATGTTTGATTAGTAATATGCATTGCTAAGAACTTCATTTGGACAACTTTAAAGACGATTTTCTCAATATTTTGATTTTTTGCACCTTCAGATTCCAGATTTCAAATAGTTGTATCTCGGCCAAATATCGTCCTATCCTAACAAACCATACATCAATGGAAAGCTTATTTATTCAGCTTTCAGGTGGTGTATAAATCTCAATTTCGAAAAATTTACCCTTATGACTGGTTTTGTGGTCCAGGGTCACATATATTATATTACTAAATTATATTATATCATATTGTGTGCAATGTAATAAACCAGGGGTTCTCAAAGTTGGGTCCATAACTCATAGCCAGGGGGCCCACGAAATGATTTCCGTGATGGGGAAAATTTGGACAGAATTACAGAATCCATTCAAAACTCAAAAATCTTCTTGACAACCCGTCATAATATAATACTATTGTACAATAGAATGTACTTCTCAAGTAAAAATAATAATAAATTATTATAAAATTTTAAGCAAATCACACTATTTTTCTTCCATGTTTTAATTTTTAAAGTAAACCCCTGCTTGCACTTTTTGTTTGCCAATAATTAAAGGAAATTGTTACATTTTCATTTAAACTTTAAAAGATTACATTTATAATGTTTTATGCGTTGCTTTGATTATCACAGTTTTTGATAATAAATTTGTATTAAACATAAATCTAGAAAAATAAAACAGACATTTTGAAAAAACAAAACATTTCATATGGCCATATTATTGTAATAATTGTAATAAAATATACGTTTTATAAATTCTGTTGATTAGACATGCATTTAGATTATTAAAATGTAATAATAATCTCACTGAAATTTGTAAATTGTATGTGTTTTATTATTTCACATAATTAAACATGATTTTTGATTATTACTATTTAATTTAACCATTAAAACTGACTGCAGGAAAAAAATTTAAATAAAAAAAATTAAACATAATCCAGAAAAAAAATCTCTAAAAACAGAAATTCCAAAAGCATCTAAAGAGTACAAAATATTGCAAGCATATGCTTAATCAATGTTATAATTATGAGGTTTATGTTATGAAGAATTATGAAATTACAAAAGTCGTTTAATTGTCCTAGTTGTCCACTATTAACGAGCGACAGACATGCGAATTAATATAGCTCTAACGTTACTGAACTGAAAAGGCTCATAAAGCCGATTCCTATTTTCGGTTCCCAACACCTCGGAATCGATTCTTTTTGGAGTAAAGTCATTAAAGCACATTAAAAACAATAAGTTTTCACTACGACCTCCAGGTGTTGACTCACACTAACAGACAAATGTCTGAAAACATCTTACCTCATACAGAGACAGTGTTACCGATGCCAGGCATGTTATGGAAATGAACGCATTCCACGCACGAACATTGTGCTGCTTGGGAGAATGAACAGACACCTCATCCTCCAGCTCCCTGGTCTCATGCGGGTCTTCAAGTGTCATCTGCAATCAAATCTGCGCTATTATTTCTATACACCATAACATTAGCTGCACTTATGTCGATGTGATTTTTGACCAGTAAGTTACGAGGAAAAAACAGAAAAAAAAAAAGTAATTCAAATGCATTTGTAGGCTTATATAAGATGCTTGAGAAAGAGCTTCTGCAACTGAAGCTACATGTGAAGAGTTGTTTAGTGACCAATGGCTGTATACACTTACAGGTGCATCTCAATAAATTAGAATGTTGTGGAAAAGTTCGTGAGGAACAGTGACCTCTGACCTAGAGTGAGACATGATATTAAATCATAATAGCTTTTGCAGTACAGAAGGATAAACAAAGATATGCTGGTTCCTTACATATTTTCACATCTTAGTTTGCTCTATCAATCAGTAGAATCACAAAGCAACATCTCATTAGTATATCAATGAAAAGTGACAATTCAATGAAAGTGCTTATCATTCACATATCAGGAATATTTCAGGAAGAGAATCGGTAATGAGCATCAAGCCAGGAGAATCATCTCACACATCAGAAGAACAAGTTCTTGCACTGAGATCTTTAAGGAAGATTCTGTGATTCATCAGAGGAAAGTCTACAGCTTAAGACTTTCCACTGAAAGATCCATCAGTCTGTTTCTGTCTGCTGGAAGAGAAAGATCAGACTCTATCAAGAGAGATTCAGGAGTTTGTTAAATCAAACAAACATAACACCTTTGAAAAGCACAACATAAAAAGGTGCAAATGTAAGTGCTGTGATTTTGTGCTGTTTTATGATGTTGTCTTGATAATAGTTATAGTCTTGATAATGGTAATGTGTTTTCTCTACTGGACATTGTGAATACTAATGTTACTATCTAGAGCCCAAGGTGGCAGATTACTTATGTAATACAGTATCTACGCACAACAGTTTTCTCATAGCAAATGAGATTATTACAAAAAATCTATACGTAACATATTTAACAAAACTACAATAAAAAATGAACACAACAATTGCAATCATTTTAATTTGTGTCCTTATTAGGTTTATGCAAAAACAACAGTTTTGACAGCTCGTGTGTTTTTCCTCAAATGTTACAGTAAATTAACTGTTATAATATACTGTATTTTAATTCTTAACGTCTGCATTTGGTGTAAGTTGTTTATGGGCAGTGGTTTCCAATCACGTTCCTGGAGTACCATCTTTAAATTTCAAGTCATTTTAATTGTATTTTGTTCAATTTAAACTTGAATTTACAGGTTTGATACCTCACTTCAAATCCAAGAATTTAGTTGGTATTTATTAGGCATTCAAATATGAATTTTTGATTATTTATAACCTTTTACATTTGTCTATCCAACTCGCTGAATAATGTGCCCTGCTCTCTTTCAGTCTTGTAAAGGAGTTCAACATTTAATTCAATTTAGTCATTTCGATAAACAAATTATTACATAAATGTGCTAAAGCCAACATAGACCTTTTTAACTTGACCTGGAATGCATCATCAAAAAAAAGTTACCAATACATAGCAAATAATTTATGGTGGTTTCTTGAAATTAATTCTGTCTGACAAAGCAGGTTATAGATCACATTAGTATGTTTATACACTGCATAACCCATTGACTCACAAACCTTGCAGCTTAGATTAGATGCAGGTGGCTGTTTTCACAAATGTTTTCTCATAAATAAATTAGTATCGCAACAGGCAACAGCAATTTCAACCCCTCTCATAATCATTAAAAACGATCAGACAAAACAGCATCAACAGTTTGATGTAACTTGCATTCTATATGTACACAAAACATTAAAGTCTGGGTTTATTACAGACAGAAAACAGGCAGCTTTAAGGTAAGTTTTCCTCAGGATTGTCCATGACAGACTTTACCCAGCTGGTGCCGTTGATAAGTTTGGTGGTTGCAATAATGTACTCAGTCCCACTATCTTCCATATGAGACAAAAACCGTAGAGCAGCGATTTCAGCATACGTCACACCGCCAAGGAAGAAGACAAGGGTGGTTCTGTTTTCTCCTGGCTGACCTGCAAATTAAAGAGAAGGAGAATATTCTCTCAATCAATTATCAAAATAGAGAAATGTTACAACAATATGAATCAAGACTTTTATTTATACAGCACTTTTATTTATACACTACATGTTTCAAAGCATATTTCACAGATTAGAGCTGTGATAATATAGTTTACATTTTGTGACAAAACAAGCAAACAGCATAAGCTAAGATTAACAGCTAAAATGAAGCACTTCAGTCTGCTCTTTCGTTGCTTTTTTGCTTGTGGGAGCAAATTTTACAAGCTAGCTCAAGTTTATTACTATAAGATGGTAAAGACTATGATGGTTTTACTGATCTAGAATGACCATCCTTTTACAAAGTAAATCATGTCAATGGTCATCACTTACGTTTCTTGTGAAGGCCTGTGGGAACCTGCTGTCTTTCTTCAAAGTGTGGACCAGGCAACATCTTCAGCACCTCCTCTATGCTCCTCCAACCAGGACGTGCGAGCACTTGTGTCAGACGAACACTGAGTGGCGCATAGCCACTGTACACATACGAGATGTCATTGGGGTTCTAAAGGAAAGTTAACACGCATTAGTCATTCCCAAAACCACGAATAACATGTTGTCCTTAGATGTGGCACAGTAAACTTGGAATTCAAATGGCTAAAAACAATAGGCTTTTGTGTCCTCACATCAGGCTAACATGTGTAAACTGTACTTATACCTATGCAAATATACATCCCACACAAATGCTGCTGTAAATCATTTCTCAAAACTAACTGCAATTTTCTAAGGCATTTTTACAATCACTTTTAACTAACTGCTCACAAGGTCATTTAAAGGGGTCCTATTATGCTCTTTTACAAAGTCTTGATTTTGTTTTGGGGGTGTACTAGAACAGGCTCTCATACTAGGTTGTTCGAAAAACACATTATTTTTCACATATTTTACATTATTACAACACCTCTCTCCCCAGTCTGGCATGAACGGCTCGAATAGTTCCTGTATCAAATGAAGGCCCACCTTCTGAAATACGAAATGTGCTGTGATTGGTTAGCTGGGCCAGTGTGTTTTGTGATTGGCAGCACTCGGCGCCTGGTCGGGAAATGTCACGCCCCTTACCATAGCCGCCTGCGAGCTTCAGTGTAAATATTGCGTCAATATGAAATCAATTTGAGCGCGATTTAAACCCGGATGATTGTAACCACTCTAAGTTCGTCTGCCTTGGGAAAGCTAGCGTGTCTCCGACATAGTGATAACACTCGTTGCCTTCTCTAGTGCAGCTCAACCAGGTCTCGTCCCATTCGTCGATATTTGTGATATCACAAATCCCGGGAAATATGCGTTGTAGTCCAAACGAGTCATTCGTTGTAGTTTTTGAAAAGTGATTTCTGTTAAATAAAATATCTCCTTTTGAAGTGGACTTTGAACTTTGTAAATTTGCAGATCTTTTTTATGCTCAAACAGCAACATTACAGACTAACTAAAGTTGAAAAAGCATAATAGGACCCCTTTAACGAATGTATGATGTCAACTTCACCCTAGTGAAAAATAAATATACTAAAATATATTTGAAATCCATTTGTTTTATGCTAAGTATACTACAAATACATTTATGTACTTAATAAAAATACTTTGCAACTGTATTTTTAGTATACTAAACTGGTATACTTAAAGTCTGCTAAATTGGAACTAATTTTGTACTTAATTGCACTTTAATTGTGCGTAAGTAGTGCTGAAGTCCAACTAAAGATATACTGAAGTATATTTGATTGCGCTAAAGTGGAACTATTACTTTATCTTGCATTTAAAGACTGATATTATACAGGGATCATACAATCCTCATCAATAGTGACATTAAAACATCTTAGGCTTAACAAAAAACAAACAAAAAATGTGCATTGTGCAAAAGTAGTACTCCAAATAAAGTTTAATTATAAATGTTCAAATTTGTTAATAGATTTGGCTATACTTAATATGAAATAAATGTATTTTAAATATATAACTTTTACTAGGGCAATACTTTGTTAAATAAATAGTAAGGCATATCATAAAAATATTATGTTATGCACAAATATTTGTTTGATTAATCAGTTGTTCATGTGATGTATTGATCCATAAAGCAGGTTTGTAGTAAAGTATTTGCTCATGTCCAAGTCAAAACTGAACTAGATAACTAAATAAAATGATTTGAGCATTTATAATACAAATTTTAAAAAATTAATTGCACAATAGCACAGGCTTGCTATTTTATTCTACATAAATGTTCTTAACAATCCAAGTGATTAAATGTATTCAATATGTTCAAATTCATAACTTAAATTTCAACATCTGTCAGTGGCAGTCACAGTATTTTTTAGGTCAAAGCAGATATCAGAATTGAAATACCAAGTGATATTTTGATATAGTGATAATGTTTCAACTTTACATATGAGAGGTTCTTTTTTTATAAGAACTTTGATAAACAAAACTTTGTCACTAATGAACTGCAAAAAGTGGTGGGACATTTCTCCTCCATAAATGATGCATATAACACAGACTTGAGAGTAGCCACCCTCAAGATCCAACACTGGGGTGGTGAGTTCAGCATGGCCAAACACAACTCGCACTATCCACAGGAAATATTAGAGCTAGCATTAGTCAAGGTCTTTTATTTTTTGTGTGCACCACAGATAGTCCCAAAAACATTGTCTTGGCCCCATTCATCATCTTTGCTTTTACAGAATAAGAAACTTGAAATGGGACACAAACAAGCTCCAGCTGATGATAGAGAATTTGATAAGTGCAGTCACTCAAGAACATACAGTACACAAGCAGGAGGTTATGAAACTCCTTCAGAGGACTAATGGAAGCTGTTCTACAGTACTTAAAGTTATGAAATTAAGTATTTTCCTTACACAAAGTGAAGGGTAGCTTCAAAAGGACTGGGATTGCATCAAAATACAATAATTGTGAAAAGTTATTTTTTGGGTGATCCATTTGTCTTTAAAATCAAGGTGAACTCAAAATTATGTCGGTGTCTTCAGGTAGTGACACGTAGCTCTGATAAAGCTGGTGAAAAGTCTGTTTAAGGCCAAGAAACTCCATAAAAAGACTTTGGATTTAACAGATGAACTGCGTGCCGATTTTTAGAGAGAGTGATTTATTGGTTCAATTAATTACAAAAAAAAACTTAGAAAAGGAATTGGACCGAGACCTTTGAGATGGAAAGCACACACACAGTATATATAAAGATAAGATTTAGAACCACTATGTTGATATTACTTTTTCTTCTTTTTCTAATCGTCTTGTTGCTCTTTCTCTCGGTATCTTCCCCAAAATAGGATGGTGGGCAGAGAAAGAATGACCTCCAGATGAGAAATCTGAAATAGGACATACTTGCTAGCCAGAGTTGCAGAGTTTGCTTTTCTGAAGTTTGAAACAAGATGTTCCCCCAAGCTCCCCACAAAACATAAATATCACCCAGGGCCCAAGAGAAATGGAGCCGACAGTAAGGCACTGGTGTTATTAACAACGCTACATACAAAAAGATGCTAGTAACCTTTAAAAAAAAATAAAAAATACACACCCGCACATCTGTCGTCTGGAACGTGTGGAAAGTTTTCTATAAGTTGACAGTACTGTAGACTTTTAAATGTCACTTTTGTTCTGACGTCAAGAACAACGGGTGACATCGGTTTGTTGATTTCTACCAGGGGTGCTTTGTTCGAAGAGATAGTGCCTGCTGTAACATTTTTGTGGTTTTATACTTTATATTACTATTTTTATGAGCTTACCGCAATTTTCTGTACGTTTTTTCTTGTTCAATAACAACTAATGTGCACTGGAATTATTATTATTATTTTTTTTAATTTACCAAACCATCCCCAGAAATCAACATGCACACATGGTTATGTGAGAGCTATCCTTTAAATAATGACAACAATCCACTGAAACAAAACACAGTGTGAAGTAAATGTTAAATTGAATTGCAGCATATAAGGGAGTGGGGGGGTGTGTGTACATACATATATACATACATACATACATACATACACTCACACACAGGTGCATCTCAATAAATTAGAATGTTGTGAAAGTTCATTTCAGTAATTCAACTCAAATTGTGAAACTCGTGTATTAAATAAATTCAATGCACACAGACTGAAGTAGTTTAAGTCTTTGGTTCTTTTAATTGTGATGATTTTGGCTCACATTTAACAAAAACCCACCAATTCACTATCTCAACAAATTAGAATA